AAAACAAGCCTAAAGACTTTCAAATAAAGATTTTATTATCTCCTAATACATTATCACACTATGTCTGAGCCTTTAATGTGAATTTTTGAGGACCTTAAAGACATACATCAGCTATTCAGTAGTAAACATTCTTGTCATATTATGCTTATTAATTTTCCCATCATACAATGATCAGATGAAGTCTTTAGTCTGTTTTAAGTCTCCTGGACCTTTAATCATTTAGAAGCTATAAGATCACACCACTTCCATTGGCTAAATCATACATTGCTATGTTAAACAAATTTAATGGTCTGTAATTTTTAAATAATTTGAATGCTTTTTACTTTCTTATGTTTCAGTTCTCAGGCACATAACCTTGAATGCAGGTTTACTGTTTTTATAAGCATACAGAGACAGGATACACTTCTGCGTATCTTTTTCATCATATCATGCTCTTGAATCCTTTTCCTACTTGCCTACAAACCATGATTTAATTTCTGCTAGTCTTGACACAGTCTTTTAAGCAAGTTGGCACAAGAAGTTGGATAAAACAGACATAAAACCGTCATCAGCACAACATTGCTGTCAAACTGAAGATCAGGCACTGAATGTGACCTTCAAGGCTCCACACCATCAAGTGATCACCTGCACATTCAATCAACCAAAGCTTGAAACACAAACCTATGATGCTCTTGCCCATTCCTCATCCCCATAAATGGCAGAAAATGAAGAGGTGAGTTAGATTTATAAAAAGTAATTAATAGCTTGGCATGGCTTTGGAACATGTTGAATGGCTATGAAAAATACAAAATATTAAGAAAAATTTATTTCATCTTAAAGAACCTAAAGTTTTACCCACTATTCTATGCAAAAACACTAAATAACTTTAGATTACTACCTTAGAAAACCATCCTTGGAAACGTGGATAGTTGATCAGAGAGACAGACAGACAGACAGAGACAGAGAAAGAGACACACACAAAAAGACACACAGAAAAACACACCAAGAAACAAAGAGATAGAGACAGAGAGAAGACAAGACAGTTCATCTACAAGTCTAAGTAAGAGCTGATACTGAGCCAAGGTAAGAAAATAGCTCTGAAGAAGGGTCCATTTCATATTCCTTTTTTGAGCTCTGAACACTTAAGAAAATCTTGTCACATATCCACACTTAATTTCAAATTACATTCTAAATGAAAAATGTAGCTAGTATAAATATATGACAAAATATAAATTATAAACACATTTTCTAGTTTATTCACTTAACTAAGGACACTGTTGTGATCAACCTGGAAGTAGTATTTTCATGGCCCATTAGTCTATTTCAAGACTTCCTTCAGTTGCGCTCAACTACCTTTACAATGTGAACACCCAGAAGAAAATTATTAAACTCTCTCTTGTTTTTCAAGGTTTCCTGTATTAGTCCATGTTGTATTGCAGTGAAGTGACACCATGACCAAGGCAACTCTCATAAAAAGAAAACATTTAACTGAGGCTTGCTTTACAGGTTTAAAGGTTGAGTCCATTATTTTCGTGGTAGGGAACATGGGCAGCATCAGACAAACATGGTAGCTGAGAATTCCACATCCAGATCCAAAGACAGCAAGAAGAAAGAGAGCTTCTGAGACTGGCTTGGGAACTGAAAAACCTTAAAGCCCACCCCCAGTGGCACACTTCCCCCTACAATGCCAAACCTAGCCAAACAAGGCCATACTCACTCCATGAAGAATACTCCTAATCCTTTCAAATAGCTCTCTAAGCATTCAGATATTTAAGGGTTTTTTTTGGGGGGCGGGGGAAGCCCATTCTTACAAACTACCACACTTCTCTTTTCTTAAAAAGAGAAAATGAAAAGCTGAATGTTCCTTACTTAACAAATATGAAGATACTTAATTTCCTTAACTGATAGCATAAGTTGTGTCAGGAATGATTCTCTATTGAATTCAATTTTCTTTCTCAGTCACAATGTCAGAATTTCATGTTTGTTTTGTTTTGTTGCAGGTAAGTACTTGTCTATTTCTCTATATTCCCAGAACTTCATAATGTGTCTAAAGTAATGTTGATTGATTAGTTATAAACTTAGGCATATTTGGGTAACCAATATTCCTTTGTATTGACATAGAATTTGGGGAGGATGAGTTCAATGGAATATAAAGGAGAGTGTTGTCCTAAAAAGCTTTGCAAGGTCGAAGTATTTAGATTTTTGCTATCTACAGTCTCACTATGTTCTCTTTCTACATGCACATAGAAAGGGACTGTAGTTGTGAGTGGCATGAGAACAGTGTAATTAGATGGGATAGCTCTGAAGAGAGCTTTCTCTGACAAATCCTAGCAGTTTATAGTGCAAACCAGATTAAAGTCATGCATAGAGCATCATTGATTCAGTTTCATGAATAGTTCATTGGGATTTATTTTGTTTCCTTTATGTAATACAGCTCACACCATTATTTCCATTGTGATCATATAAATGTTTTTACTTTTCATGTTCAGTGTGATTCATTAAAAATGTTCATGACTTTAACAACCAGAGAAACTGGTGTGGATTCAGTAACTAATGCTTAGATTAGAGATAGTTGTCCATAAGGAGGGCTCAGACCTTATAATACTTAGTCCAGACCAGTGTGAGAAAAATTACAATCACAGTCTAGTCCTTTTGCTACCATTGGAAGTCTCTTTGTCCAGTTTTTCTGATTAACCTGCCATGTTATCATGGCAAAAATGGAGGAAAAAGTTTACATACAATAAACATTTATTGAGCAAGTCAATCCCAAAGACAAAAAGAAAAGTTGGCCTCAAGTTATGACAGTCTGAAAGAATCAATGATAGACCCTCTCAAATAAAGACCAGCTCAGACCAGTTATTTGGGGCTAAGACCATATAACCAATTCTCAACTAATGTGGTCACATGACTATTAAACATTGTATTTACTGAAGTACTGCATGCATGTACTGTGTATTCTGGATACCTATTATAGGCTATGACTTGGAGGTTTTCACACTTTCTGATTTTACACAGTATGAACTAGCCTATCACTGCTTTTAAAGAACTTATCCCTTTCATTAAGTGACAGATTGTAATTTAATTGACTCTTCAAACTTGGTGTCTAGTTTTGATTTAACCACCGTTGTCCTTCAAACAGCATGACATTTACTTTTCTTAACAAGTTAGACATAAAACAAATATTCTTCAACTTTCTTTTTAGTCATTTATTCCTCAACAAAAAAAGGTGTTTAACGACTTCATCTAAGTGTTCTGAATTTATCTGCATCTTTCTACTGATATTCCGCATATCACATTGTGGCTTCAGTGTCTGTAGGGAGGCATCTATAGAGTAACCCAGGGACCAGGAAAAAAAATACTGTAATAGGACTTGTATGACAGTAGTGCAGTTGTTGGGGACACAGGAGATTGTGAAGCAGCAGGAGGCCAGGAGTGCTTCTGTACAGTGTCACAACTCTGGAGTTTTGACTGGGCCTTTCTATTTCTAGTAGCTATACTAATTTATGGAGTAAAGATGTGCTCTGAGACAACTTGGCTCTGGAGTGAGGAGTACACATTAGACAGGAATACCCCAGTGGGTGAAATATGAATGAGCTAGTGGGGTGTAGAAACATGGCCCAATAATACAATAGACCAGGGGTTGGAGCACGACACTATCAGGACAGGCAAGACTCCTCTGGAAATGGCTCAAAAATGGCCACTTTTTCCTGAGGGGGAAATCTATATGTGCAGCAGCTGAATGTCTCTCTTAGGTTTTCTTTGTCTGAATTGCTAATATTACCTTATGGAAAAAGATTCTAGTATTCTCTGTGGAGTAGGCCACTAATAGCATAGTGGTTCCTCCTGCATGACTGACGACAATGGCCTTGACTTTCCTTTTTCTTCGAAGTCTCCCAGGTATGCTGAAACCACAGCAGTCTTTTCTGCCGTTACTTTCTCTCCAGTGTAACAGTATAGAATGATAAACGCAGGTATTTTCCTTTCCTTGGTGCTAGTGAGGTCATTCCCAGCCTTTTCAATATTTATTTCTCACAATACTTCAGTGGTATAGGAGCTATAGTGAGTACTGAAATTATCATTTGGGGATCTGAAAGTTATGGGACCATCCTAAACTTTGAACTCTGACTCATATTTACAACCATAAAACATTGATTTGATTTTTAATTTCAAGTCTGAATTTGAATATACTAATATGAAAAATTTGACATAGGAAATAAACAAGATTTCAACAATTTTTCTATTTCAATGTATTTATCTATTATCTGCATGAACTGTCAGATTTTAATGTTTAGCACTAAAAAAGATTGGAGAGCTGGCATACATGTCCTACCACACCATGTATCAATCTAATGAGTCTATTAGTACAAAATACCTACTGATCATTACCTCAATTTGTGTATGCAATATATTTTAAAGTTGTCACAGAACATTCAGGTTTAATGTCATGATATTTAGAAATGGCCATTTACTGGGAGCAGTGTTTCCATATAGTGCCTCATTAAACTGAGAACCACATTTGAGAGAATTTCAATTAAAATATTTTTAGACATTAAGGGTCTAAAAATCTTTTTTTATCTTTCAATAGACTTTTATTCTTTGGTTAAAGATTATAAAATGTTTTTATTTGATAAGATATTATATTATCAAAATAAACATCTTTATTATCATAATTGAAAACTGAAAAGCATTCCTCAAAATTAATATACATTAACTACTAGGCAATTTTAGTCCATTTTTTGATGGATATATCAACAAAATTGTGAAAATGAAATGCATCTAAGTAACAGAGATCATGACCCTGGGGATGAGACACACATCATAGGATCCAGCACGGATATGAATGATGCAAGTCATAAACATTCTTCAAATAACACAAGACTCAGAGGAAGTCTCATAGAAAACACTGTTTGTACAATGGTGATCTGCTCTGTATTCACTGCTGCTATTTTCATAATAGCATAGGTGGACTCCTACCCAACCTCAGCATGGACACAGCCCATGTGTTCATACACAACCCTCACCTGTTCTCAGAAGCTCCAGCTCCATAGAGGTCTTCTGTTCCTTCAGCTTGCAGATCAAGGCACATTCAAAAGCAATATGTCTCATCTCTGTACACAGGCATAGTGCTCAGCCTCCTGGGAAACCATTCAACTCAAGCATTACTAAGTAGGTCTCACAAAACCATTTAGAAGATTTCATTCTTTCTGTAACAATTAGCAAATAGAGAACTCAGGCATTGACCACACCAAAAAAAAAAATGACTTATGGTACAATTCACACTATAAGATGATATTCCCAAGTTTAGAAATTTAAGAGTCTTCAAAGGTTAGGAATTTGGCTTCTGGGAAAACAAACAAATCAAGGGTAAAGACTATAATGTGTACATGAAGGTAGAGATGAATAAAACACCATTGTTCTGTTCTTTGTTCTTTCACTCAATCTATTTGGAAGAGAACATTTTCTGCAGAGAGGCAGGTGATGTCTTTGGAAGTCAGTCACATACTCTTCACCATCATAGGTATTACATACGAACCTCCTCTTACGAGGAGTGTCCTTTATCTATTCAGCTCCTAAAAACATCCCATGTTTCTTTTGCAGTTTTTTTCAACACCATATGATTAATGATTTAGTCTAAGACACTTACCTGCTAATAATCCACAGGATGTCATCAAAATGTTTAGATGGCTGAATAAACAGCATCCAATCACATCCTGGGAAGTCAGATAAAATGTCATATGAGTGGAGTGAAGTGAGTTAGAGTACACAGACACACACATGCACAAATACATGAACACATAAACATAACTTTTCTATTTGGAATTCCATCTCACCATAGTAAGGTCCTCTAGATTTACCAATCATTTTGTTACTTAAACTAGTGACTCAAATTCTTATCCACTTGGCGGTGGGAAACATCACCCCAATTCACACCCACGTCAATATCACCAAGGAATATATGGAGAATGTTGCAATTTTAAATGCTGAATTACTCACTTCCCATTTAAAGTGAATTATTGATTCTCCTTAAATTTCACATTCAGTAGATGTGTGAGTTTCTCTGTTCCATGCTGAAAATAATCTCTTTTCTTTCCTGAAACCTACATCTGCATCTAAAGTTATTTTATTTTAAATACTATAACTTAAGAAAATAACTATAAAACTAGTTAATGAAGAGATTTATACGAAATTAAAAGCAGAACTATTGTATATCTTCTCTCTGAAATTCATTTTATAACTGAGGGTGTGTATAGCACTGAGGTATCTCGACATTGTAATGATAATCAGTAGTCATTTTCTTTCCCTTCCAATACATTCTTCTTTTAAGCCCATAAATAGAATAGATCGACCCTGGAGCTTTATTGTCCCAACCAAGCCCAAGAACAAATATGCATATATGTTTATAGATATAGATGCAGATATAGATAAAATCCTAGGCTGTTCTAAACTAAATTTCAAGGCCTGTTCAAATATTTCTTTTTATTCTTATCTTAAGACTAGAGGAGTGGAGAACCTGTTGAGGGGAATGAGTTCTGTTTGTTTATCCCTTTTTTTTATATATCTTCTAGGCTTCATTTATTTGAGTGATGGTATTTACCTTAGTTTTCTTTCTTCTTCATCCAGGATTATAACAATAACAATAACAAAAAATGAGAAAGAATGGAAGAATACATATATTGACCAACACTGTACATACTACCTCAAGTCAATGGCTATACTGTTTCCTAATGAAGTCATAGCAAATCAGTTTTGGATTTTAAATATCTGACTTAAAAGTTTCTCACTGAGGACTAACTTTCATGCTACCATAAACTGTCATAAAATCTTTCAAATGAAGGAGGCTACCAACAGTCCTATCCAGCCAGGATGCTTATGAACCAGAACAATGACTAAGATGACATTATATAACCCTAAGAGTGCAATGGTGGTATGCATGCCATGGCAATAACCAACAGCTCTCTAATTGGACGTAGGGCCTGTTTAACAAAAGGGAAATCATGCCTGGTACTGCAAACACACCCAACTACTCACTGCCAGTTAAGTCATGTATCTTAGAGGAAACCTCCAACAATCACTTTACTAAACCAACACAAACCCTAACTGAATTCTAAATATTTGTCCTTATACCCGTAGATAAGGTGGATGTGCCCCAAAGATGCATGTCCTGACATACTCTCGTTCAGGAAGCCCTGTGATTTGTAACCTTTATTCTGGATGGTTGGGGGCTTTAGTAGTCATAATATCAGGGAAGGGACACCTTACCAAGAACCCAAGAGAAAGAGAATACAAATTTTCCTTTTATATGTAAATGCAAATTTAATTAACTCTTATCTGATTAATATACTTACAGATTTTATACACAGGATTTTGGAGCTAAATTCTCTGGCTTCTTAAGCAACCCTATTATTATTTGAAAGCCTCATCTAACTCTACACAGGCAGAACAGTATCATGTTTTCCATGATTTCACTGCATACATAAATTTTAAGACATTATCATCTATTTTATTACTTCAAACTATTATTGCCCATAAAATTCCATTGTTTAGGCAGTTCATCAAATGCTAATTCATTGAAGTAAATTTACTCAAACAATGAATTTTAGAACTAAACAATGTATAATATTTCCCTCTTAAAGCTTAAGTATGCTGTTATAAATAGCAATTTCCTTTTGCATGTATATATGTAGCATATATTCTCAATCTATTTATTGATCATTAGACATATAGGTTGATACCATTGTCTTGGTTATTGAGAATAATGCTAAAATTAACATGGTGGTTCAGATGTCTCCCTGATGTGTAGATTCATGTCTAATTCTTCTCATGTATACTTAAAAGTGAAATTGCTGTGTATATTAATTCTACATGCAGTTTTAATTTGTCAATACATCATCAAGTTACAAAGTATGTATTACAACAATTTGAAGAGGTAGAGTTATTATGTCACCATTGGTAGATTTCTACAGAATTTAGTTGACTTGTATGGAAACTCAGAATATTCCATTTTCAGAAGCAGTGGGTTTTATTCAAATGCATACCTTTCTCTGTCCCTCACATATCGATACCTCTTGTGCTGTCTGCCTTCCCGTGTCCTCGTATCGTAGCAGGTCTGTGGTCAAGGTCCCAATGTGGATGCAAGTTACTGTATCAAAAGTAGACATTCCTTAATATGCTGATAAGAAGCAGAGCCAGATGTGGTGGAAAATGCCTTTAACACCAGTACTTGGGAAGCAGAGGTATTAAGAGCTGCTGGTAGCAAGAGACTGTGGTTACACAGCAGGAGGCAATGGGTGCTCAGCAGGTCGACCCACCAGACTCTGTGATGGGGAGCCCCACTGGCAAGACAGTGGAGCTACTGACTGATAATGACCAGTTGCTCCTGTCCGTAATTTCTCTCATATACCATTTCATTTCTTCCCTAAGTACAGCTGTGGGTGTTTTCCCACAGCTGGTGTGTTACTGGGCACTCATGTCCTTGGATCGTTAGAAAGATGACTTCTCAATTAGCTGTATAAAATTGACATATAGAAAATATAGTAAGATATGTTTCATAACTAGATCTATTACCTCACAAGGACGGTAGACCCTTAAAAGCCTGCTTTGTTCCTTTTGCTCAGACTAACTCCACACATTTAGCTCATTTCACCTCAGAGCAAGTTCAAACTATCATAAGTTTGAAACTTTACAATTATGCACAAGGTCAGAGTTGCAGATGTCTAACCACATAAAGCACTCTAAGAAAAGCATACCAGTTCTTTGCTTGCCAAGTCTGCTGATAAAGACCTATGTCTGTTTGTCACACTTGACACTGCACCCCTCCTTCTGGTCCTGAGACCTTGAAACCTTGTGTTGCCATGGTAAATGGCTCTGTCCTTATCGTCTACTCTAGAAATGTGCTTTTGACCAATGAGAGAGAACTCTTGTAATTTTTATTATTGCTTCAAGTCTCCTGTAAAAAAGAGTTATTATTGGGCTAGATGAGGAAAAGCAGGAGGATTAGAACAGAGAATTAGAGCTAAGAAATTATAGACAATTAGGACAAGGAAATTAGAAAAAGGCAGAATAATAAAAAGATATGATTTGAAGAAGACACATGTGAGCTAATTCATTTTTGCCTTCAAATACCCTAGTTCCTTTCACTTCCTGTTGTGTCTGATCTGAACCCGGATGAGGTCTAAGGAGCTGGCCCCCAAACAACCTTGATACAGAGGCAGATAAATCTCTGTGTCTTCAAGGCCAGCCTGGCCAAAAAGTGAGTTCCAAGGCAGCCCACTTTCCTGCTTTTGGTCTTCACTTTCCAGTGGGCTTTTATTTGCAGTATCATCTTTCATTTGCTTGCTAGCCAGCCATTCTACTGCTTTTCTGTACTTCACTTGTTTCTATTCTTTATCCATTTTTCCTGAGATATAGCATTTCTTTATTTGTATGAAATGCAAAGTAACTTTTTGACAACATCACATATTGGCAAACATTTCACTTCTTTTTCTTTGTAATCTATTTGCTTATAACATTGTTTCTATGTAATACATGTTTTCATTTTCAAATGAAATATTTCATATTAAATTACATATTTTCTTCAATGTTCTTCCTTTCTTTTTTCATAAATGTAGACTATTTAATTTGGTATCATCCATCCAAGAGTCTATTTTTCACAGTGATTTGAAAGTGATGCTTTCTATTTGCTTACTCTTATTGGAATACATTTTCCAATACATTATACTATTTTCTCAAACCTGCATTCCTATCCTTCCATTAGCATGCTGTGGATTGATTCAGCTGCTTTAGCTCTAACACACATTTCAATGTACATTTAATATAGAGTAAAATTGGATTTCCCACTAGCTACTGGACTTTCTGAACATAGATCCTCCTGTATGAACTATCAATCCCTACAGACCTCTGAATGATAATTCCATCATTTAATTAGCATCATTGCCATTTTCATTTCTATTACATACAAAGTCAGCGTGTTATCCTATTTATTCAATCATTTTCAGTTCTGCAATAGTAATTTAAAGATTTATCCAAATTGTTTATAGAATTTATTGTCATATGTGTCTTTTGGAATCTTATGCTGGTCCCACAACATCTTTTTTTTTCAATTTCACTGTTTTTCCTAACTGGTTATTTTTTAATTATTAAGCAATAGTTTAATATATTTAAAGCCCACTTCAGTTACTATATATAATATTTATAATATTTTTGCTTTGTGTATAATTTCTGTTGGTTTTTTTTTTTTTTTTTTTTTTTTTTTTTGTAGAAAGAATGAAGCTTTACGGTCCAGCTTTCTCTGGTCCACAATGCTAAATCCAAAAGAGATCACCTGTGTTCTGAAGACCCCTGAGCAATAGCTGCCCTGGGAATTCCTTCTGCCGTTTCCTCTCCTGGACCCCTGCCTCTTGCCATCACCCTGAGCCTCCACACTCTGCCCATACTCTGCACTCACTCCTCATTATGCTTTTATGCTTTTACCAACTGTTGGAAAGATACTTTCCCTCAATGATTAATTTGGAATATAAGAGTAATTAGGTTATTTTCTCATTTTTATATGAAGGTATTATGCCCTAAAGGTGTATTACTACAACCAAATCTATCATCAAATTGTTTTTCAAAATATTATTTCTTTTCTTTAAGCATTTTTGCTATAAGTTTTCAACCAGTGATAGGTTTCTGTTCGTGCATGTGTGTGTATGTGTGTGTTTGTGCATGTGTATGTACGTAGCTGTGGGTAATGTTTTTAATATTTCAGAACTATTTCAAATAATAAAACTATACTGCAAGCTAAAGGAATTTAATACATAATGGCTTCAGTATCCTTTGATCTAGTTATTAATGTTATATCATACACATATTTTTATTTATTCTTATCTGATATAACACATTCTGAAGGCGGCCTCACTTCCCTTCATTCCTTCCAGTCCCATCCCTCTGCTCCACTGACTTCCCCTTTCCCTCAGATCCACTGCTCCTCCATTTATCTTCAGAAAAAAAGCAGTCCTCCCAGGTATCAACCAAACACTGCATAACAAGATGCACTAAGACTAGGCATAAACTCATATCAAGGCTGAAAAAGACAACCCAGTAGGAGGAAAGTGGTCCAAGAGCAGACAAAGGAGTCGGAGACACTCCCGTTCCCACTGTTAGGGTTCTCACGAAAAGCTAAACAACCACGCGTGTATGTAGAGGACCTAGCTCAGTCACATACGTGCTCTCTGACTGTCAGTTCAGTTTCTCTCTTTCTTTCTTTCTTTCTTTCTTTCTTTCTTTCTTTTTTTTTTTTTTTTTTTTTTTTTTTTTTTTTTTTTTTTTTTTTTTTTTTGAATGTTACAATTTCAATGTGAATTTTAATATCAATATGCTTATCTCCAAAGCAACATGAAAGTAAGAGAAACATAAAAATCCATAAAATAGTTGTCCAGTGTTCATATGAAAGACTCATTCATTAAAACATAAAGAAAATCTATAATAGGATGATATTATCAAAATGCAATAAGCCTCTTGTTTTTCATATGCACCTCAGTATAAATGTAAGATTTATTTATTTCTTTCTTTCTTTCTTTCTTTCTTTCTTTCTTTCTTTCTTTCTTTCTTTCTTCCTTCCTTCCTTCCTTCCTTCCTTCCTTCCTTCTTTCTTTTTTTTGGGGGGGTTTCTTTTATTACTTTTATTTTTTAATTTTATAATTTAATTTTACATATCAGCCACGGATTCCCCTGTCCTCCCTCCTCCCGTCCCCCCTCCCCCCAATCCACTCCCCATTCCCATCTCCTCCAGGGCAAGGACTCCCCTGGGGATTCAGCTCAGCCTGGTAGATTCAGTCGAGGCTGGTCCAGTCCCCTCCTCCCTTCACCCAGGCTGAGCCAAGTATCCCAGCATAGGCCCCAGGCTCCAAAAAGCCAGCTCATGCACTAAGGACAGGCCCGGTCCCACTGCCTGGGGGCCTCCCAAACAGTTCAAGCTAATCGACTGTCTCACTTATCCAGAGGGCTTGATCCAGTTGGGGGCTCCTCAGCTATTGGTTCACAGTTCATGTGTTTCCACTAGTTTGGCTATTTGTCCCTGTGATTTTTCCAATCATGGTCTCAACATCTCTCGCTTGTACAATCCCTCCTCTTTCTAGCCGGTTGGACTCCCAAGGTCCACCTGGGGCCTGGCCGCAGATCTCTGCATCAGTCATTGGATGAGAGTTCTACCATGACAGTAAGGGTGTTTGGCCATCCGATCACCAGATTAGGTCAGTTCGGGCTTTCTCTTGATCATTGCCAGTAGTCTGTTGTGGAGGTATCTTTGAAACTAGAGGAAAAGACAAATAAAGCAGAAGAAAACAATAAATCCCTTAAAGAAAACCACAAAAAAGCAACGAAACAGGTGAGGGAAACAGTCCAAGACCTGAAAAGGGAAATAGAAACAATGAAGAAGACACAAGCAAAGGGAGTGCTGGACATAGTAAGTCTGAGTAAATGAACAGGAAACACAGATGTAAGTATAAGCAACAGAATACAAGAGATGGAAGAGAGGATCTCTGGTGTAGAGGATGCAATAGAGGAAATGGATCCATCAGTCAAAGAAAATACCAATGCCAAAAAATTATAACACAAAATGTCATTTCAGTTTCTATGAGTTCCAATGAGCCTTGCTTAATTGATTCTATGGACTGTGTTCTCCTGGTGTCCTTGACCTTGTGGCTCCTTCCTCTGCCTCTTCCTCAGGATTCCCTGAACTCTGTGTAATGTTTGGCTGTGGGTCCCTACATTTACTCCTATCAGTTGTTGGATGAAGCTTCTTCGATGACCATTATGGTAGACTCTGGTCTATAAGTATAGCAGAATATTATTAAGAATCATCATTTTACTGATTTGTTGTTTGTTTTTGTTTTTTTGTTGTTGTTGTTCAGTGATGTTTGATGATAGGTCGCTGGCCTATCCAGTCTCTGGTTGTTGGCCATTCAGGCAGTGTAGGGCCTGGGCTCTCTACAATGGCGTGCACCTCAAGTTAGATCAGTCATTGATTGTCCACTCCCACAAGCTCAGAGCTACATTGCCCTAGCACATCTTGCATGCAGGACAGGTTGTAGGTCAAAGGTTTTGTGGCTGGGTTAGTGTTCCAGTCCCAACACTGGAAGCCTTGTCTGGTTACAGAAGATGACTGGTTCTGGCTCCATATGCTCCATTACTAGGAGTCCTGGGTAGGGTAGCTTCATAGGTTCCAGAAAGTTTCCAGTGCTGTGTTTCCACATACCCCCCAAACTCTCCCCCAAGTTCCAATTGCTCCTCCTTCCCTTCCCTCCCTCTTACTACTGATTCCTCCAATTTTCATGCCCACCAACCCCAGTCTCCCACAAAATCTATTCTATTTCCCCTTCCCAGGGAGATCCATGCATCCACATTTGAATTCTCTTTGTTAGCAGACCTTTCTGGGCCTGTGGATTGTACCATGGTCATCCTTTACAGCTAATGTCCACTTATAAGTGAGTACATACCATATTTGTCTTTCTGGGTCTGGGTTGCCAAACTTAGAGTGACTTTTTCTACTTCCATCCGTTTGCCTGAAAAATTTCATTATGTCAATTTTTTAGCAGTTGTGTAATACTACATTGTGTAAATGCACCACATTTTCTTTATCCATTCTTTGGTTTCAGGACATATCAGTTGTTTCCAGTTTTTGGCTATTATGAATAAAGCTGCTAGTTGAGCAAGTGTCCTTGTGGTAGGATGGAGCATCTTTTGAGTCTATGCTCAGAGTGGTATAACAGGGTCTTGAGGTAGATTGATTCCCAATTTTCTGAAAAATTGCCATATTGAGTTCCATAGTTTCTGTACTTGTTTGCACTCCCACCAGCAATGGAGGAGTGTTTCCCTTGCTCCACATCCTCTCCAGCATAAGCTGTCACTTGTGTTTTTTAATCTTAGTCATTCTGACAGTTGTAAAATGGAATCTCAAAGTAGTTTTGATTTGCATTTCCCTGATTGCTAAGGACATTGAATGTTTCTTTAAGTGCTTCTTGGCCATTGAGATTCCTCTAGCATACAGATTTTTTTTTTTTTTTACAAAAGAATCCATGTGTTAGTCCTTAAATCTTTAAAATTTAATTAATTAATTAATTAATTAATTGTGTTTCTATGTTTGTATTGTGAGCACACATGCTAGGGTGAGTGTGTGGAAGTCAGAGGACAACCTTCTACTGTATGGGACCAGATTATCCAACTCAGGTCCCAGGTTTAGAGGCAAGCCTTTTTACCCTGACAAACCATCTTGCTGCCCAGCCTAGCTCATATCACGTGAAAAAAATAGTTTCATTTAATTCTCTTAATTCCAAAAAAAAAAAAAAAAATTCTAAAACTCGATGAACCTAATCAGGACCTACATCTGTTCTGAAAAGAATTCCTTTGTGTAATATGGAACAGACATTCTTATTACTCAAGCATGTGACATGGGTGCAACAGTGTGAAGAGCGTATGGTTATTACAATTCAAATCAGACAAAATGGATGTCCTGAAAGAAACAGTGGCCCAAGAGCCAGGGAAGAAGAGAGACCAGAGGAATAGAACAAGCCACAGCCAACCTCACCTCACTAATTCCTCAGCCTCCAGAGAGCTTCACTTCCTCTCTCTGCCCAGCTACATCGCTTCCTGTCTGTCTGTACTGACCTCCAGACCTCTATGGTTAACTAGTGCTGGGAATTAAAGGTGTGTGCCTCCATTCCTAACTCTGTTCCCAGTGTGGCCTTGAACTCATAGAGATCTGGATGAATCTCTGTCTCCCAAATGTTAGGATTAAGAACATGTGCTTCCACTGCCTGACCCCTATGTTTAATATAGTGCTTCACTTTTTCCTCTGATTCTCAGAGAAGTTTATTAGGGTGAACAATATATTGGTGGACACAATATATCACCACAGTGCCCATTACTCAGAAAACACAGACTAAGATTTTTTACTGTGTATGTCATGATAAGGAAAACACGGAGTTTCAGTCGGTACTGGTAGGGTGAAATATGGAAGAGGTGATATTTTTGTTCAGGGACAAGTTAAAAGGCCTCAGTTTATAAATTTCTACAAGGTCTGTATAAAGCAAGTGCTAAGTCTGGTTGTCTTATTTGAGATCAGCAGGGTGCCTTGCTATGAAGTATTTAATTTCATCTTAGTGAAAA